CTTTGTACTTTGCCTTTCTGCTTTCTCCATTTTTCTCCTTTTGAATTTACCATTCTTGGAGCTGAAAAAGCATCTTGTCACCATGGGAATCCTGGTTTGTCAGTGACACCTATAAATACTTGTGCCAGCCCTCCAGTGCTGACATCTTTTTGTGTAAGAAAACTAGCCTTATGATTTTTTAAAGCAGTATGTGAGTAGCCAGTAACAGTTAAATGTGTCATGTTGGATTATGCATGTGAAAAGAAAATCTAGAAAAGGAAGAATGGAAAAGGGATGTGGGCAGAGTTTTTGTGCTTAGTCTGGAGATGCAGATAGAGCTGAGGTCACTGGAAGCACTTCATCAAAGAAGCAGAAGTAATCACAACACTCAAGCACCAGCAATTCCCAGGCAGAGAAGAAATTACCAGTTTTCACTGCTAAGTGAAGCTTGAGATTTTGTTTCTTTGTCTGGCATACACTAACCAGATCAGTTCTAATTCATTAAGAAACAAAATACGGGAGGAGCATATAATAGAAGAAAGAGGCAGAGCTGCAGTTTCTGTCATGTTAACTTTATAGGATGAGAGACATCAGAAAAACAGAATATGCAGCGCTAGACCTGAGGAGGCCTCTATAGACTAGAGATAAACGTTTTAGTGACATCAGTGGAGATTGTGATAGGCTTTGTGAAGGTGACTGATTGCATAGAGGAAATGAAGACAGAATGTCCACCACTGACCATGAAGACCCCACATTCAAAAGTAAAGAGCCATGGTGGTGCAGGCCTGTAATCCCAACCCTTGGCAGGTTGAGGCAGGACTGCCAGGCTGAGGCAGGAGAATTGCCAGCTCAAGGCCTCATGCTTGCTAGGCAGGCGATCTATTGTTTGAGCCCTGGCCCCAGCCCAGGGCTACTTTCTGAGTTAAATACTGTTAGTTGCTAACATAAAACACATTTCCTCTTCCTCCTCCTCCTCTTACTAATAGAACCCTGGTTGGCTTACAGTAGCACTATGACCAGTTTCAAAACTCCTTACCTCAGTCTCCTGTAGCCATTTCCCCTGCTCACGGCTGAAAGAATATACAGGCACATTATTGTAGGTTTCCTGCTAAGATTGTCAGCTAAGAGTAAGGGATGGCATACTACCTAAGCCTTTTGTAAGGAATATCCTCCCCAGGTATCAATAGGGCCCTTCAGTGGAAACAATCAAGTAAAGAGTAAGTGAATGGGATACAGAGTTCAATTGAATTGAAGATATCCAGGAAAAGAAGTGGTATTATTAGATGGTAGAAGAAAAGTTTTTTGTTCTCTTTGTTTGATTTTTTGGCAGTACTGAGCTTTGAATTTGGGGGCTTCATGCTCGCTAGGCAGACACTCTACCATTTGGGCCATGCCTCCAAACCTTTTGCTATAGTTATTTTAGAAATAAGGTCTCAATTTTTGCCTAGGCTGGCCTGGAGAGCAATCCTGCTATTTATACTTCCTGTCATCCCAGCTACATTCCAGCATGCCCAGCTTTTTCTGTTGAGATGAGGTCTTGCAGACCTTTTTTGTTGGAGTTGGCCTAGAACTGTGATCCTCCCTGTCTCAGTCTCCTGTGTACCTTGGGGTGAAAGACATGCACCAGTGCACCCAGAAATAAGAAAATGTTTATATTAGGCTGGTGAGGTGGTTATTGCCTGTAATCCTAGGTACTCAGGAGGTGGAGGCAGGAGGATTGCGAGTTCGAGCCCAGGCAAAGGCAGCAACCAAGTCTAAACACAAAATTCATTTGTTTCATATACAACATAAACACATAGCCTGAAGGTAACTCAATGCAGTATTTTTTATTGAATCTGTGTCTTATGGTGACTATCACATGAGACCAGGTGTGGAATTTTCCATTTGTGGCATCACGTTGACAGTACAAAAGTTTGAGGTTTCAGATTTTCAAATTAAGATGCTCAACCTGCATATATAGTTTGATACTATCTCTAGTTTCAGGCATGGGGGAAGGGGACACATGAGAGAGGATGGTCTTGGAACACATCCCCTAAGGAACAATCTTCCTGGGGAAAGTTAAGTTAATATGTATCCAAAGCTGGAATATTCATAACCTTTAACCTAGAATATTTCCCTCAGCTTTTGTAAAACAATTCTTTATAAAAGCATGTATAATATTCATTTCGGTTTCATAATGTAGTGAAAAATTGGTAACTCCCAAATTCTTAGTAATAGGCAACTGTGCAGGTTAGCACTTACCACTCAACAATTTTGTTTAAGTTCAGTATGGAAATCTAGATTGGCTGAGTTTTTTCACTGTGTACACACATGCACAACTGTCACCAAGTTCCTCAAAGAACAGAAGACCTGCTCCCCTCAGTTGAAAAGCTTTAGTACTATGAACTGGCTTCTCTCTGGGAAGCCAGGGATGTGAACTCTATTAAGGTAATCTCAGTTTGTTTCTGCCCAGCAGATGTAGAATTTCCCCATCTACAGAGATGAAATAGCACTTTGGTGGATTATCTACTTACTTTATCTCTAAGAGACCATGATTAGCCAGACCTCTGTGGTTAAAACTGATTACCACTCCATCCCTTGTGTTCTTGTGCTAAAAGTGTCCAACCTCCACCATGCCAAGATCTCATCATCACTACCGAAGATGAGGCCCTACATTCATTATAGAATCTCCCATATCATTGACAATCTTGAGGGCAAGTACAAGACTTCTTTGTGGATGGTGGTACATCCATCACCAGTGTGTTGCTTAATTCTTTAAAGCAGTATCTTATGAACTTTCACAGGCTAGAGGTTGGCTGAGCACATATTAGATCCATTCTGATATTCCTTTCTTTCTCTAAAATAAATGTTATCAGTACTGGCTGCATTCAACCAAAAGCTAGAGGGCAAAGGAGCCCATTGGTATAATTAGAAAGTGGCAAACATTTTTTGTCATGGGCCAGATAAAATATTTTGGTCTTCATGGCAATATATCAATATGGCAATATACTCAACTCTGCTCTTATAGCAAGTAAACAACCATAAACAATTCCTGACCCACAGGCTATAGTGTGATGACCTCTGATACACACTAGTTCCCTTTATCTGCATTTGCTTTCCATGACTTCAGTTACATGATGAGGTCAACTACAGTCTGAAAATATTAAATGGAAAATTATAAACAGTCTGTTAAGTTTTAAACTGCACTGTTCTAATTACATTGACATCTTCCACAGCCCATTCCATCCTGCCCAGGACATGAATCATCCCCATTTGTCCACCATATCCATTCTGTATATGCTGCCTATTAGTCACATTTGTTTTTATCAAATATCACAGTATACCAGTGCTTGTAGTATTTGCAGTTTTAAGCATCCACTAGGAATCTTGAAATGTATTCTCTGTGGATACGGGAGTCTAGTGTAGCTCCTACAGGCCAGATCATACTGAGTGGAGAGCAGGGTGGGGTCTGAGTCTAGATCAGAAAATGGAGAATATTTGGTATACCCTTAAAAATACCAATTTAGATAGTTTTCCTGGTTATTACTAATATTTTTGACAGCTCAGGGTAATCTGATTTTCCTCATGATAAACTACCATTACCTTAGAAAACCAAATCAGCCAGGCACTGGTGGATCACACCTATACTTGTAGCTACTTGGGAGGCAATGATCAGGAGGACTGTGGTTCAGGAAAAATAGTTGTGGAGACACTATCTCAAAAAAAAAAAACCACAAAATGATGGCTGGTGGAGTGGCTCAAGCAGTAAGAGTGCCTGCCTAGCAAGTGTGAGGCCCTGAGTTCAAACCCCACTACTGCCAAAAAAAAAAAAACCCAAATCAGATGGTGGATACTAATATCTATTAAAGCATGCTGCTCATCAATGTTTGAGCCAGACTGAGGTAGGCTACAATTAGGGAAAGTTCAGGACTCTTAGCAAATATATGACTTAATATTGAATTTCAGGTTGAACACTCCTCTCTTTCTCTGATCCTTGTTTTCAATTGCAAATATATGTAGGTTATTCACACTCTAGCACAGGGACAACTAAAACCACCTTCACCTGGCCCAGGGACCTCCCATGCCACTCCCCACTCATCGATTATTGGCTGGGAATCATCAGGTTCTTCACTTCACATAGGTTAGCATAAGTTTTAAAAGTACCTGCAAAGGAGAAAGACACTCTCTCTGCTTCAGCTTCCACCTAACTTTCCCACCATGACCCTTTTATAACTCTCTTCCCTAACTTTTAATAAACTCCATTTTCACACATGTGTACTGCCATGGATTTTTCTACATGGGACACAAAAGAGTTTGGAAATCTTCTGAGACTACATAATTGCCATTAAGAAAACTACACACTGTTTTAAGATTTATCAACCTCTTCTAAACACCATTTATGGAAGGCTTTGGAAAGCTTCAGACTATGTATACAAAGTGACATATCAAATGCAGGTTTGAGAAAATATAACACTTCCAATAATGCATTTAGAACTCTAGTACATGTAAATAAAACTCTTTGGGACTAAAACGCTTCTAAATTCCACCTTCAACAAAATGACTGATGAAATACTATCACATAATGCCTTCTACAGATATGCCCTCAATGCAGCCAGTATATTAATGCTCAAAATTATCCCTAAATCTCTAATTCTTTCCATAAAAGTGCTTAGCTTTCCAATAAAACCAAACTTACTCTGATATTGTGAGCTGTATGCTAGCTAGGCAGCTGATAATGGCCAGGTGGTTTTAAATATGTGCTTACAAAAAAACTATTATCGCTGAAAACAGAAAAAAAGAAGAAACTGCTTTGGCATTTTCCTGTGATGTGCCTTACATTTATTTCAGATTCGGAAAGTGTATAGTCAGATTTAAGGATTAACTTGATTTAGCAAAACCTTAAATCCATACTCTCTGTCTCAAAGTTAAAACCGTAAGCTAACTAAAGATAATTGTTTGTAGACTACTTCTACAAAGCACAGTAATCTTCATTGTTGATGTCAATATTGTGGTAGATACATTTTCAGAATCACATATGCTGTGGAAGACATCAGCAAGTACAAGATTAGTATATGTCAATATGTTTACTCGTAACTTTTTCTGAATTCACTTTTTCAAAAATCTCATCAGGTCCCGAGATAAGTCACTTTCCCACAGGCTCTGTCCAGGATGACTGCACAGAAGTCTTGTAGCTCATTACAGTGATAAGTTTTTCCTCCAGTCTGGTTTTCTCATGTTGGTTTCAAGTACTGCATAGTCACCTTCTTTACCTTACAGTTGCTTGTTCTCCCTCAAGACAATTTAAATTTCTAATAAATATTGCATGGTAAATAAAAGGCATTCCCAAATCACTATGTTTGTGTCACTTTATTTACATGTGAATTTTCTGATGTCCAAAGAGCATACCCTTTTCTGTAAAGCTCTTCTTAACCATGCATTTTGTCCTGGCTGAGCTGACAGATGTACAAAGAGGGTTGATCTCTATCTAACTAAAAGCTTCCTCACATCTACTGGAAATATACTCTTCCTTGGGAGAAATTTATCATCGTAGAGAAAGGAATCCTACCAAATGAAGAATCTTCTCAATAATGATTTATCTTCTGATGTTGCAAAAATAATGAGCAGCTATTAATGGCTTTCCTACATATTCCTGGGGGTTTTCTCCAGGATGTTGAAAAAAGTATGGCCCTCATTTCTTCACATTCAACACATTCCTATAAGGCTTCTTCTTCTTTCCAAGAGCTTCTGAAGTGAAAGCAAGGCATTACTTTTGCTTTTTTGTTTTTATTTTTGTACTAACCAGTACATTCTTAGCTTTTTTTTTTACAATGTGATTCACTGGTGTTCAGCAAAGAATGAGTGGTAATTAAATGAATTTTCATATTCATAGGGGCTCTCTAGAGTGTGTATTCTCTGGTGTTTAGCAAGGTTTGAGCTCCATCTGAAACATCTGTTACATACCTTACATACATAGGGTTTCTCTCCAGTATGAGTTTTCGTATGCTGAATAAGGGATGCATGCCAAGTAAAAACTTTACCACATTCATCACATTCATAGAGCTTTTCTCCAGCATGAATTTTCTGGTGCTTAATGAGGAATGAGTGACAACGGAAAGCTTTCCTACACTCAACACATTCATAGGGAGTTTTGGTTGAATGGATGCTCTGATGTCGAGTGAGGTGTGAAGAACGGCGAAACGCCTTTCCACATTCACTGCATTCATAAGGTTTCTCTCCAGTATGTGTAATCTGATGGCGAATGAGCTCTGAGCCACTGCTAAAAGATTTCCCACATTTTGTACAAATATATTGTTTTTTTCCTAGGTGAATTCTCTGATGTCGAGTGAGGTTTGAGGCACGGCTAAAGGCCTTTCCACACATAGTACATTCATAAGGTTTCTCCCCTGTGTGTGTTCTCTGGTGTTCAATAAGGAATGAAAGGTAACTGAATGTTTTATTACAATCCTTACACTCATGGGGTTTCTTTCCAGTATGAATCATCTGATGTTTCACAAGGTTTGAGATCTGACTAAAGGTCTTTCCACATTCCTTACATACATATGGTTTCTCTCCAGTATGAGTTCTCTGATGTAACACGAGGGAGAAGCGCCGACTGAAAGTTTTGCCACATTCATGGCATCCAAAAGGCCTCTCTATAGCACTGATACTCATATGTTGATCCAAGACTTCATGATGACAGACTGTCACTTGCCTGATACATCCTTGTTTTCCTTGTAGCATCTCAGTACCATCTTTGCACTTCCACCTTCCATTATAGCTGGAATACATGGGGCCTTGGCTTGGAATTCTTTCTACTATCAAAGTACTGGGATGAGTCATCTTCATAAAGGACATTTTTTGAAGAAAACTCTTTGATCTCGATGTTTGACTCTGACACTGAAAGATACCATAAGACAAAGCAATTTTTTTTCCTATATTGAGCAAAAGAAAAGCCACTCATCCTTTTTTTTCTCCTTTCTTTATTTTTTCTTTTTTGAGACACAGTCTTGCTATCTTGCCTGGCTGAGCTTCAACTCAAGATCCTCACGCTTCAGCCTAAAAGTAGTTGGGATTACAGGTACACACCACCACACCCAGCTTATTTCCTCCCTTTTTTTTTTTTAATGACAGAATTAAAGTGGGAAAACAGACTTAGCAATTTCATGACTTTCATAGCTATTTCGTATTTCTATGAAATATGAGCGGTATGACCAGTAATTCAAAAAAGGAAAAATGTGGATGAATAAGAAAAAGGATTACAAATAAATAACAGAAGGAGAGGTAAACATAAAACTACCAGGAACATAAGTAATTATAATGACAGGTTATTAGTCTTTCTCACCTTTATTTAAACTGAATTTGGGACTGGAGGTATGGCTCAAGTGGTAGAGCACCTACTTCACAAGTACAAAACCCTGAGTTCAAACCCCAGTCCCACCAAAAAAAAAAAAAAGACCTCTTAAACTGAATTTGATGCCAGAATTATCTGTATGTTCTGTATCCATGGCTCCACATAGATAGATTCGATCAAGTACATTTAAAATATTCAGAAAATTGCATCTGTACTCAACATGTCCAGACTTTTTTGTCATTATTCCATAAACAACATATATTTTGACATTATTCACATTGTTCAGAATTATAAGTAATCAAGAGATGATTTAAAGTATGAATATATACATATCTTAACATGAAAATACTATGCTAATTTATGTAAGACTTCAGTGTCTGTAGCCTTTGATATCTGGAGGGGGCCGCAGAATGAATATCCCCTATAGAAAGCAAGGGACTACTATATTAGCAAATTATATCCAATGATGTATAAAAAGTATTATATCCCAGGATCAAGTTTAATTTATCATATGTACTTCAACATCTAAAAATTAATTAACATAATCCATTATATTAATGGGCTAAACAAGTAAATTCATATATCAACAGAAAAAACATGAATAGACTACCATACCCACTCATAACGAAAGCTCTCAGCAAAACAAGATAAAAGGGAACTTCATCAACTTAATTAAAAAAAAAAAGATATATAAGCCAGGTGTTGGTGGCTCACACTGTAATCCTAGCTACTTAGGAGGCTAAGATCAGGAGACTCGAGATTTGAGGCCAGCCCAGGCAAACAGTTCTTAAGACCCCCACCTCCAAAATAACCACAGCAAAATGGAATGGAGGGGTGGGCCCACATAATAGAGAACTTGTTTTGCAAGCCCTTAGTTCAAACCCCAGTCCCATCAAACAAAACTATATCTACAAAACCCTACAGCTAAGCCAGAAGTAGTGGCACACATATATAATCCTACAACTTAGGGGGCAGAGGCAGAAGAATCAAAAGTTGGAGGCCAGTCTGGGCTACACAGCAAGCCCCTCTATTTAAAAACAACAACAAAAACCTACTGGTGAGAAAGATAGAGTTATCCTGCAAGATTAGAAACAAAGCAAGGATGTCCCCATCATCACTGCTTTTTAACACCGTAGTACTAGAAGTCCTAGTAATACAATAAGACAGAGAAGTGAATGCAATTGTCCCTTGGTACCCACGGGTACTTGGTATTTGGTTCCAAAGTTTAGGGATGCTCAAGTCAATATATATACATATGTATAAATATAAATATCTATAAATATATAAATAAATAAATATATAACAGCATTGTGTATCTATAGTAGGGGAAGTATGTGTGCATGTGTAATAGTGGAGGAAGTTACCTACGGGAACCGAGGACCTATCGGGAACTCTGTTTTCTGCTCAATTTTGCTGTGAATCTGAAAACATTCTACAAAATAAACTTTACTGATTTAAAAAAAAAAAAAAGCCCTTACAGTGTTTTCAGGAAAACCAATCTAGAAAGGGTTAGGTTATTTTTATTCCTGTAATGAAAATGACACCAGCTTTCTTACAGAGCAAACAGAAAAGAAACTGGAGACAGATGCTGAAGAATAAACTCAAGATCAGGAGGTGGTAACATCCACTGGTCAGGCTCCCAGGCCAATTCCCAAAAGCCCAGGAAACAAAGAAGGGGGAGTTTGTGTGCTGAGGTGCTTCCAGCACACTCTGGAGTGGATGGGAGATTCCTCACACCCAGTCAGAAGAGTCTCAATGGCCCCACTCATACCCCTGCACAAAGGAGCACCAAGTTATCTCTCACTCGGTCACTCCTCAAGACCAGGAGAGGGGAAGCCAAAGTGTAAGAGAATTTTGAACCAATCACAGCATCTTTCTGTCACTGAAACAAACATAACCAACCTCACAACGGCCCTTCCCACAAGCTCTCAGCTGAGGTCAAGGGCAAGACTGCTTCCAAGTACGATCACAAGGCAGAAGATCTTCACAATTACAAGAGGTGACAAGTAGGACACTGGCACCAATTTCCATTGGGGCCTAAAAGATGGCACTACTCTCTGAAAACTCTTAAGCAATCTACAGCTAGGTTCCATGAAGAAGGTCAACAAATCCTTGCTAAACTGGCCTCAAGTGGAAAATATTAACAACTTTATTAAAGCCATTTAGGATTACAGTAGGAAGCCTCATGACATATTTAAAACAAATGATCTTTTTGGGGATGGAAATATGACTCAGGTTCAGAATATATACTGGTATCTCTAGCATGTCTGGCTAAAAACAAAAGGATTTCCATACAACCACTGACATTGGAGTTAAGTACATAGAAAAACAAACAAGACATTCTAATTGAGGAAAATTGAAGACTGGCCAAAGTGAAAATGGTCTGCAAGTGAGAATCAACAAATGCACCAGTCAGGCGGGTGTGTCAGCCTATGGGACTAGAAAGCATCTTTGTGATCTCCAAATGCAAACTAACAAACTTTTTGACAAGATCATGATTAGTTTGCAGACAGACAGGAACAAAGGAGTCACTGATGTACCAAAAGAGAAATCGATAATCAGAAGTTAATATTACAACCAGTAGACTACTCAACCATTTTGTTTACAGTTTGGTACCAACAAAAGTTGCTTCCCAGAAAGGAATGAGTGTACATGGGCTTGGGCCACAAGTGTATGATCCCAAACACCGTGTGGCTCCCACAAAACCTGTCACTCACAATGGAAGCCAAGGCACAGAACAAATGTATTAGAAAATCAATGGTGGCAACTGTCAGGCAGATTACCAAAATAAATGACTATCCAGAGATTACCAATATAGCAACTGAGACAGAGGAGCTCAGTATATAAGTCCACTGTTTTTACTCAGTGAGAAACAAGCTAGTCTTGAGTAATTTTTTACTATTCTGCTTAATGTATCTTTAAAATATTACCTTAAAACATTACTTTTTCTTTTATCTGCCTCTTCCCTAAATAGTTGCCTTTTACTGATCTAACAGTTAAATCCTACAGCATAGCAAATAATTTGCAAGTGAAGTAAAAATGAATACTGTGAAAGGGGAGTACTCTTATACAGCTAATTCTTTTGTTAAGACCTATGCATTTTTACAATCTTAAACTGGTATTTTCAAACAACAGGAAATGATTTTTTTTCTACAATTTAGTTTATCTGGTCATGCTTATTGCTAAAATGTGGTCTTTTCGAGCTAAAGCTAAGATACAGCATTTTTAGAAATTTACATATCAATGTGTCTACAATTTTAAAATAGAATCATTATCAGTGCACAACAAAATGAATAAATTCAATAGTAAGCACAAAGAGACCTGACAAAGAAAATTCAAAATTTTAAGAAGCTGTGCAGATAACTTCTAAATGTTTACTCTAGCTCAGCATCAGCATTAGCTGGTAGCTTGGGAGAAATGCAAATTCTTGTGCTGCACTCAAAACACCTAGTGAGAAATTTTCTTTTTGTTCTTTGGTGGTGCTGGGATTTGAATTTAGGGCCTCGTGCTTGCTAGACAGGCGCTCAAAATGGAGATATCTAAATGTCAGGTAAACATGAAAAGTAATCAACCTCATCAGTAATCAGAGAAATGCAAATTTAAAACAAAAGCTACCCAAGCACGTAAATGTCATAAATTATGATCCTTAATAAGAACCCACTTATTGCTTTTGTGGGGTTACAGTATAAAAACACTGGAGAAACATTTTGGAATGATCTAATAACATGAAAGAAGTACATCATCCTCTGAACCCAACAATTCCAATCATAAATATATACCATGAGGCCTGTGTCAATATGTACCAGGATATAGATACAACAGCAGTATTGTTTGCAGTATCTCTAAAATTAAGAACAACCCAAGAAGTCCTCAACAGCAGAATAGATGGACTGTGGTACACCTAGTAGCATAATAAAACAAATGACTAGAGAAATATCAAAATGCATTAAATCTTTTTTTAAAAATTATGGATCCTGCTATATAAAGATCACAAACATAAACTATAGTGAATAGATATAAAAATATCTGATAAAACTATAAAAATCCAAGGAAATTACTACAGGTTGAGCATTCCTAATCTACAAATCCAGTCACATGTAAGCACACACAAAGCCATGGGGCACACGGTAATTCTAGCACTAGAGGAGGCTGGGTAGGAGGATCAAGATCTTGAGGCCAGAGTTGGGTTAACAGCAAAACCCTGAAAATAAAATATGATGATACCAAAAGTGTTTGATTTTGGAACATTTCAGATTTTGGGTTTTTGGATTAGGGATGCTCAACTAGTAAAGTCCATG